GTCAGGTCAAGAAACATTCTGGCTTCCTTTTGATTTAATCTGGAACCAAGAAACACCTTGAATGATCTCAGTAAAAAAAAAATTAACCATTATTAAACTCTCTTACAATCTAGTCACTCGTTCGCAATAAAAGAAAACACTGAACAAAACGCTAGCTCTTTTTTGTTTGTTTTTTTATTGCTGATTTAACACCAATTGGGCACATTCACCCTAACCGCAAAGGGGAACAACTTCACCACCATTGAGTTCTTCAATAGGCTGTCTACGAGAAACGTGGATCCGGAGAAAGATTCAGCCATTTATTTGTGTCATTTGCAGTCTCAAACGCCAATTGTTTAATCTATATATAACTGTAAACACTACTTGTCTATCAGACGTGCGGCTCGCACCAAAGATTTTTGTGCAGATTTGACTGACTTTATCATAAACACTCCTCGTGATCATTTTGATTCCATTCTTTATGGAAAATGTCGGGACCCAAGAGATCCATCAAAAACACTGATCACTTTACGTGCAAACTTGCACTTATTGTAAAAAGTTATACATTGGTGAAACAGGAAGACGACTAGGTGACCGATTCCGATAATACCTTCGCAACGTAGAAAGAAATGTCAAGACGCATCCAAACCAGTCGCTAGACACTTAAACCTTTCTAATCATTCCAAACAATACATGGCAGTTTGCAGCCTTTCCCTACATCCAGGCGGTTCGGAAAGCCGCAAAACTCTAGAACAAAAATGTATCCTCCAAATCGGCACTCTTAATCCCCAAGGTATCAACGAGCGCTTTTCACTCTACTGATTTATTCTTGTTTTCTCGTTACCATATTCCCACCAATAGCGTAGCTCCATTTTCTGCATATAAACCCACACATTCCAAAAGTCCTTCAATCGCTCTGACGAAGGGCTAATGCTCTAAACGTCAGCCTTTAAACTCTTTACGTTATCAACTCAGTTTATAACATTAAATTACCCCGTTTATATTGGTAGCTCCATAAATCTTAGATTTCAACCATTTTTAAAACAAAAGATAGTAGGACAGAGCTTTCAGAACGAACTGATTGATACTATAAACATTTTCAACGGCTAAAATCTGGCAAATGATACTGACTCGTGACGAAAGTGTTGAACAAAACGCATCAAATATCACACTGATTAGCGTTCGGTCAACGTTTTTAATGAAAAAAACTTTAAAAAAGAAAAAATTGATTTCTGTTCTTTTATATTTGAGTATAGAGAGCTTAGGCTTGTTCAAACCTGTAAGAACATGTCAGAGCCAAACTTCAGGGTTTTATTTGGCGTAATCGGCGATAACAGCACTAGACTACAAGCAGTCCCTCCTCCGGGTCGGAAAAAATCAATGAAGAAAAAAAAAATGAAGGCAAGCGCTTCACCCCAAGAGTTCCCGACCGCGCGCTAAAATCTCTTTTTTCTTTTTTAGCTCCGTTTTTCCTTTTTGACCCGCGCGACGGACCTGGCCCAAAAGGAGGGATTGCACGTAATCTATAACAGCACATACTCAGTGAAATTCACGGCGACCGGTGACCCAGTCACATAATTCTATTGCGTACTTTTTCCTACCTAAATAAGGCAGGGATAACGTGAATTTTTGCTCAGAATTCTATCAACCATGTTTTCGCTTGATGGGATCAGAGAAATACAGGACTTCAGATCAGCGTGAGGAAATGACCGAGATCCGAAGCAAGTATTCAATGCGTGCATTGACAGCATCACCGACACTGTACAAAAGCCCTGCCACTATGCGTTCTTTTTTTAGCTGTCTAACGCGTGTTTTTAAATAAATTATGGCGAATCTCTGAATAAACAACACCTACCAAAACTGAAACGCTTTCCAAACCTCTTACATATCGTACAATTTAGGAATACAAACGATTTCTTGCTGCATATAATGTGTTACGATGAGCGAGCTTGTCAACTTTTGAAATTTTCGATGTCGCAGGAGATCAAAAAAAGGGTCTCTTGCAGCTTTGATTATTGAGAGCTCTCAAAAATTTTATTTGATGTACTACCAGAAACCAATCTGGTTTTATATACTTACTACCGAAGATAGTTCAAAGCGCAAAGTTTGAGGCAAAATATTTTTGCGATGAGAAACGCCTTAGACCGTTCTTACAGAGACCGCCATTTAAAGGCTGCTCTGGTTCCAAGTTCCATTACAGGTACAGTTTGCAACTTTTTTTATCTAAATCTTATTCTTTTCATTTGTTTTTTAGCGACCGGAACAATCCAGGCGATTTTATCTCTGGGACAGGTCTTTGCGAGAAAGTTCTAGATCTTTGTCAGTGCTACGAGGCCAAATTCCTCTTTCACAAATTAAAACCTAATATCTCTTCAAAATTTTGGGCAAGTAGCTCTTCGATGATGGCTGCCTCTTATAGAAAGGCCAGGTTTGACCATTAAGACGACTATAAGAAGGCTCCGGAAAAGAGGATCATAAGGAGGTTACAATAGTAAAGATTTCTTAAAATCTTTTTTCAAATGGCTAACCAACCTTTTTCGTTTAAACCAGGTGAAACTTTAACCTTCGACCACATAAGCAACATGTGATGCCAAATGTAAAACCGCAAGAACGACACTTAGAGTACAAGATAACAAGATTATATCAGTATGAACACGTAATGTACGCCTAAATCAACAGAGTTAATCACAGATAAGAATAAGTTCGATGAGAACCGCGTATAGTTTGTCTAGAAATGTTTGTTTACTAAACGTTGTTGAGAGCTCAGTGACACAGTCATGTAAGATGCTGATGATCAATTCTATTTGAAGTACAAAACTGAGTTACATCTATTTAGCCATATTTGACAACCAGGTATTTCAAAACTTGATACTTGTTTGCAAAACCAGTTTTTACTTGCTTAAACTACCCAGTTGTCGTCGAATTTTCCAGACTCAGACTATGTTCAATTGAAGTGGTATTTTAAGAATATTCTTAAATCTGAACAGCTTAACTCTCTCATGAGACGCAGATCGTCTGCACTGGCCCGGAAGAAAAATAAAGCGAATAAGTTACTCAAAAGAGAAAGTTTGACGAAATTGAAAAAAAAAAAAGAATTCAATCCGACACTGAATTGTTTTAGTCAAATTTGTAGTAAAGGCATAGTCTGCACTCGAGCCGAGTGTTCCTCGCTGTCAGAGCATGTTTGGATCGGTTGCTGCACTTTAAGGTGAATGGGGATATTATTATAAGGCCTTGGTTAAATATATCATTTTTGCGTGTTCTTCAGTTTATAATCAAGTACTAATGTCTCACACAAACAGGTTCTTAGCTGAGGATCCTCCAATAACAAGGCAAAAAGATATCCCGACGAACGATACATGCAGCACTGAGCCTCGAAGGCAACACAAGCTTACACACAATCGAATTCTTGTGGCGAAGACATGACCTTGAGAAAAAACAAATGATCACAGAGATAAGTGAAATATTCCTTTCATTCTTCAGTCTCAAGCCAATTTGCAGTTATTTTTATGGTTATGTTTATTTTTCTGCAAATTACCACGTTGACTATATAATAAAGCTTTTGGCGAACGTGTTTATTTTAGTCTCTTGTATCATACTACTTATGAAACGGGCATCACCGTTGTACCTTCATTTCAATTGTGACAATAGATACTTAAGTTGGTGATTTCGATCAATTTGAGAAATCTGTATGAATATCTTTAGTCTGTAACGGTGAGGGAGTCGACTTCATACTGATCTCAATGTTTTCTGTTAGTTTTGTGGACCCGACCAAGAATTGAGCAAAATCATCGACAAACAGCTGGCACATCGAGGGACCGTCAAAACATGGTGTTCTTTGCTCAAAACCAGATAAACATTCTGTATGATTTTTTTGAGCAATCGATAAGTTTCTTAAAAGACGGATATTGTTTTAAAGATAGCAAGTGATCTGGACTTGGTATATCAAGGCCATTAAGAAGGTCGCATTCAGTGTCAACAGAATCACGGAAGTCAATAGTTTTGAACACCAAAAAGATTCAGAATTTCTGTGATACATGTTGTTATTTTATTTCTAAATGCTCCTCAAATGTGAGCATACATAGCATCACGATTAATTCTGTTTATTTTGACGATTAGTTGCAATACTTTAATTGAGTATTTTTCATACTGCAAATGGTTCAAGAATAATAATTTTGTGTGGGTATTTCGTTTGGTTGTGGCGCATTCTTGGAGAAATTGTTTTCTCAAGTCTAGAAAAACCACCTGTTAAGACATCACATACATTCTAACATTGTGCACACAGTCTCTCCAGGCATTTCATTGGAACCAAAGGGTATTTAAGGCACTAAAATGCAACTCCACAAATTAACCCAAAATTCAACCAAAACCTAAACGTTCTTTTACCTACCAATTACTTGAAAAGAAGAGCAATGATACTATTTTATTCTCAAGATGAAAATATCAATTTGCTTGCTTTAATTATTTTGATTGCTGAGAACTTGGTTTGATATTCAATAGCATGACTACTTAATGTTCCTCTTACTTCTCATTGCCTTTCTGCTTTGAAATATATGGATGTTGTAAGGAGAAATTTGTTTTTGGTCACTCCTGAGAGTCTTTCCTTTTAAGATACTGGTATATCTTGCCATTTTATAGTCAGTTTTCCAATGATAAAATTGCGAGGCTACTAGAATCAACCAACACTGGATGCAATTTGTAATTATGAGTATAAAATATAAATATGTAAGCTGGTAACAGTTTGAAATAACTTTGAATTAGGATCTCTGGGTGAATTAAACAATGAATGATGCGGTAATAGAAGAATTTCAAGACGATTAAGTTCATCATCTAATCAAATCTTCAGTAAAGGTATTGAATAAATAATATTATGGAAAGACAGTGAGAAAACGTTCGGCCAAAGCACACTGACAGGCACTCCTCGTCCACAGAAATTACCTCCTTTCCCAAGGGAAGGAAAAAAAAGAGCTCTTTGGAGCCAGGACTGGCTCCATCGTTTTCTAGTATTTGTTGGCGGTAATAACACACGAAGCTCTTCTCCACATTCCTCTTCGGCCCAACTATAGACTTTGAAGGGACTGATGAGACGAATCATTTGCACCGAAGGCTTGAAACTTCGCAGACACCAAGCGCAATGCACTACTTGTCAGACATCCTACATTGATAGAGAAAATTCCCAATTACTCCTGGTGTTCCGGCAAACATTACCAATCGATCGAACAACCGGCGAATCAGCCTCTTGGCCGTATATTTCCTTTCGAAATAAAAAGTTTTTGGTCATCTTGTCCTCATTCAAACTACTCAAAAACACCATCTCATATTGTCTGAATCTTAAATATCTCAAAACCAAGCAATCAAACCATCCAAATCGTTGAAAACTCCAAATTCCGCAGAAGATAACAAATAAAAAATTTACCCGCCATATTGAAAATCACTTAATGTATGTATGACGTCATGATGGCGGTGGAGACTAACCCGTCGTTTACCCAGGAGACACCCCTCCCTCCTGCTTGGAGTCACATTGGTTAAGTTCATTCTGATCCCTAAGTAACCAGATTGCCCTTTCTCTAAGACACTTGAATGAAGAAAATTTTCATGAAATCAAGAAGGTTCTGAGTAAGCCCAGTCCCTCAGATAGCTTACAGTCGATTACTTATCTATTACGTCATAAGGCGTCTCTGAGGAAGATAGACGCACGGGAAACAGAAATTGATCAAGCGAAAACAAACTGTCTAAGGTCTTTTACTAATTGGCTAATTGGTACGACTCCAAATTGCCACTGGCTGAGTTTTCCTTTTCTCTGAGTGCACGTAATAAACCTTAGATAGGTGATCTTCTTCTTATGGAGAAGACTTTGCCCTTAAAATATCTCTATAACATAAGCTATTATACTTTAATAGAGGGCGCTTATCCATAGGACGTTTCAGTTCCAGAGCCGTTTAGCACAAATGAGTCTCAAATGTCAGTAATCTCAGCAATTTTGTTCAAGTGATAAGTGATAGATTTTAGCAGCTGATCAGGATTAGCTGAGTACACTTATAGCTCCTCTGAATTTGTAAACTTATTGATAACAAATTCAAAGATTATCAGTTAAAGTGTCTGTGGTTTAGAGCTGCTATCAGATATCAGGAAAGGTGGGTCCAACTCGTAACAATGGCTATTGTTTGATACAGGCTAACTAATCGGGTGGCATTAATATCTGGCCAGCAATCAGTGCAACTGAAGCTGCGATTTGCGTTGTTAGAAGCTCAGGTTCATAACTATGACAATGCACGCGCATAAGCCATAGCTGGATATCAATTTTAGTGACGTCAGCGAAAAGTTCCAAAATGGCGCCTATTCCCAGAGATGCAATACATGTTTGGCTCTTTCCTCCTTTCTACGTTCAGAAGTGTCCATGTCCTAAAGCGCTCGTAGTGGCTGGCTCCAGGACAACACAAATTAACAAGCGTGTAGAGATATGAGGTCTGTGTAACTTTTGCGTGCGATTTAGCGGTAAAACATTCGAAGTTCTGAGTTTTTCTCTTCCTGCTCGCACATCTTCTCGACTTGAAACATTACATATCTTGAAAAACAAGGTAGAAAAAAATTTTGTTTAGTCTTAACAAAAGTTGCCATTGGAATCTCCGAAGGATTTTCTGGTATTAGGTGGTATTTTTCGTCGTAATGCCACCCATTTCGCACATGTTAGTCCATTTGAATAAGTTTCGCCGTGTGAGTCATTGCTCGATCGGTCATGCCATGTTCCGACTAATGCCCTCTTGCAGACTGATGGAGGAAAAGTTGCTTTCTAAACATTAAGATTCAGGTGTGAGGCAAGATATCAAATAAAGCAGAAACGGTGCGACAAAAGCACTTCAAAATGAAGTTTTTACTCCATATTAATCTGACAGCAAATAGATACTTCCCAGCAACGATCTTCGGCTCAGAGGAACCCCTACGTGCCTATCGTGAGAGCTTTTACCTTAAACTTCATGAGTTGACTATGGTAAATTTGAGATTTTTAAATTTGAGATTGAGATTTGAGATTTGAGATGAATAATTTATTGCAATCTCTGAAGAAATACGAAAGATGTTTTTCGTCTTGTCACGAGCGTGGGACAAAGAAAAAATTCTTAGTCCCCATAAGGAATCGAACCTCAGGCCTTCGGATTCCGCGCTCCGATGCTCTACCACTGAGCCACAGAGACTCCACGCTAAGCAAGGTCTATTACGAAGTTCATATGACACATGTCCTTCATACCCCTAGGATCACCAATGTCGATAGCGAAACGGTTCAACAAAAGCACTTCAAAATGAAGTTTTTACTCTATATTAATCTGACAGCAAATAGATGCTTCCCAGCAACGATCTTCGGCTTACAGGAACCCCTACGTGCCTATCGTGAGAGCTTTTATGCTAAACTTCATGAGATGTCTATGGTAAATTTGAGATTTTTTGATAATACATCTGTAATAATTTATTGAATTGCAAATTTCTGAAGGAGTTAAAGAAAATTGTGTATGATCCCCAATCACCTCTTTTAGGAATTGTTCTGAATTCTTTTACATGAATTTTAGGAAATAAAAATACAGATGGTTGATATAACTGCTTAAGTGATAATCTTTGTTATTTTGAAGTGAAAGCAAGCTTTACAAATTTCATATTAGAAAAAAGACACACTATACACCCAAAACAATTGAGTGTTAGAGATCAGAAGTGATCAGATTTTTTTTCTTAATGATTATTGTTGAAATATACCTTGCAGAATGAGGCCCTTCACTTTACAAGAGCAGAATAACTCATAAGATTTGCAACGACAAAAAACTTAATAAATAAAACTTAATGCACCTCCCATCCAATTTTAAAAAACACTGTCATTTTAAATACATTCATGGAGAGTTTCCCTAGACTAATTGATTGATTACAAACTTCAGCTGATCTTATCTAAACCAGTGTTGCTGCATTTCAAGAATACATTCCTGATACCACCAGTTGGTTACTCTTTCCCTTCTCAGTAGTTCATATTTTATAATAGGAGTGTAACATGAAGATGTGAAAACAAACGTTTGATAATGAATTACGGAACTCAGACAGAAGTGAAGATGAAAGGAATGCTTGTTTTTTTTTGTTTGTTTGCTTTTGTTTTTGTTTTCAATCAATATTAATCCTAAGTCAATACTTACAAATGTGATGTAAATAACTTAAACATTAAGGTTTGTTGACTGTTTGCTTTCCAGTGTACCTATTAAATAAGAAAAGTGAGAAGAAAAGTTTTCAGTGCTTTTAAGGGAGAATGGTGTGTTGAGTCACTTCTTAGCATCACTTCTTTATTAGCAGAAAAAAAAACTAATTTTGAACATTGTTGCTGCTGATGCTATAAAATTTAATTTTCAAGAGAAACACTGTCAACTGAGGCACCAATGAAATACACAGCTTTTGTTTGATATTCTCCAAACATAATTGTGAATTTCGAAGAGAATTCATGGCATACCACTATTGAGGATACTTGACTGATTCAAAAGGCCCTTTCAGGAAATTTTTGATTATGCTCACACAATATTTGCAAAAAGTTAAGAGGTACAACTTTCTCATCTGACCCACCGTAGTAAGTAAAGTAAAAAGCGTAAAAAAACAGTACTTTAGCATAAGTTGGGAACACCCTTCTCATACACATTCGTTTTCCTAGAGTGCCAACACATGGAGACCTATGGAATTGTTAGGAAGTTTTTGCCTAAGCCAGTCAGCTCGACATGTGTGGAGTGCATATGACAAAGACATTTGTCGGAATTCCTAACCAGCATCCCCAACAGACTATGGTTCAAGGGACAGAAATTCCTGACCTTTCCGTGTTTCGCCGCATAGAGTTATCTGCTCAACTTCTAAGCTAAGACAGCCAGAATTACTGAGTCTCAGGCACTTCAGGTAACGGACTTGAACGCCGAGAACCAGCTCACGAAGATTTTTCACCGATTTTTTCTTTTGTAAAATGTTATCTACGATAGAATAAGGTAACTGTTATTGATAAAGAGAGATTCAAGATCAAGCTAGACTGCATGAGGTCACGTTTATTTCGAGATTTTTTCAGTTAAGATCAGTGCAGCAGATCTGTGGTGTAACTTAATTGTCTGGTATTATTACAGCATCATTTTGCTACTTATTTCCAGGCGTTTTAGTAAAGCATTCAAAAAAAAAAAAGGGGCCACAGGAAAGCTAAGCATAAAGTTAACATATATTTATTTATGTTTGCAGCGAAAGCTAACAATAGCTATATCTTTCCATTTATTAACTCTTGGGAAAGGGGTAAAATTAAATTTTTTTTGAGGGAAATAAGTACACATATTGGAATTTCATTAACTCATAATTTAATCAAATATCTAATATTTACCCATCACAATTCAAGTCACGCACGGCGCGAACTCCCGAACAGTGTCCACTATTAGTATTACGGATTAATTTTACAGATATTACGGATTCAAGCTGAAAACTTAAGTTTGTATGTGCCAACTTGCGCTATGTGCTAACAACCACTTTGCATAGTTGCGATTTTTCATATTCTTCTTACAGCGCTGTAGAATTGAGGCAGGGTTAATGGTTTAGTATCAGACCAGTTGTTGATCCTAGACCGGATCGGCCCAAAGAAAGGGCGCACGTGATATGAGGCCGTGCACGTGCTTTGAATTAAAAATCACTGCACGGCTTAGCTTGTGGTTTGGCCTTGGTGAGGATAACATAGTAACTGGATAAGCCATTTCAGAATGAGTGAAAAAACTATGAACAGTCACGAAATGGTGTTTTTATACTCGTTATTGAAATTGAACCTGGGATCAAACGGGCATTCTATGACGGAATACGTGTCACTCTTTGAAGGCAAGTTGACAGACCCACGAGTTTTTTCGGGGAGAAAAGAATACATTTTGTTACTTGTTTATCGCAAAGTTGAAAAATTAACCCTGTGGTAAGGTTCTCATTATGTTCCGTGCCGTCTCCATGCACATTCAACTTGTGATATAATCCGGGCGAGATGTTGTAATCCCCGGCTTCCTGATGTTTATTTTCATATCGCGTATTTAGAACGTGCTAGAATGTTTATTTTCATATCGCGTATTTAGAACGTGCTAGAAGGTTCTTTTTCTCACAACTATTTTTCTATCGGACACGATACAGGGACCTTCTGCAGAGGATCATCGCCTGGTCTCTTCCAGTCGCTAAAAATCAAATTGAAAAATAAAATGAGATAAAGAGAACAAAATCGATAACAAAAATTTGGACATGTGTACCTGTTATGTGGACTTTACTGTAAGGCCTTGCTCATGCCACCTAGGATCAGCTTTTAAACAGCTTACAACGATGCTCTGGGACCTAAAAAATTGCACAGGAACCGGAAACCACTTTTGGCCTTGTAGCTTTCACTTTACCCTTTCAACTTTTAACTCTCTAATACTCGTAAATAAAATGAAATTCACAAGTGGGAAGATACTTAAACGAATTCGAAGTTGAAAAAATCTTCTGCATGAGTAGCTTACCGGTGAGTCTCTTCTCGATAGTTAAAGGTTTCTTCATGTGCAAGCATGCTCTTGTATTTGGCATAAATGCCTTTTTCTATTCAATTATTAGTTTCTTAATGATCTAACTCCCTCAAACGACGATCTAACCAGCTCAGAGAATATAAGTTTCTTAACTGAGACCAATTGTCAAGCAATAAACAGCTTGACTCAACAAAGCAAAAACAATCTTGACGTGTTGCCAAAAACAAATTCCTCGACTACTTGAAAATGAAATTTGTGAAGTAAAAGCCTTAAAGAGAGGGACAATAAGATCAGGTCCATTGTGATTAGACAAGAAGCAAAACTGAAAGAAGGGAAAACTAGAACATTTCCCTGGCCCCATGCAGTTAGGGAAACCGTCTTTCCGACGCTCACTCAGCGGTCTCTCAAAGAGGAATAGAATCAAAAACTGATAACAAAGAGTATTTATGATAACGTCAGTCCAATCTCCAGAGAGACTTTTAAGAACCGGATGTCTGACAGACAAATACAATTTATATTTACGGATTCTTATGTTTAAAATGAAGTTTCGGGACTGCAAGTTAAGCAAATGAATGGCTATATTAAATCTTTTCCCAAGATCGTAGAGAGCTCAGCCTCTAACATGTACGCTCGTAGAGATCTTCATGATGGCGAAGTTGTTCCCCTTCCGTACGTAGTAAAAGTGAACGTACCTATTTGCGTTCAATCAACAACACAAAGAAAGCTAGCGTTGTGTTTTGTTTGTTGTGTTTTTCTTTCGAAGGAATAACCAAGATTAAAGAACGTTTATTAACGTTTGCAATTTTTGACCGAAATCAGCCAAAGTGTTATTTGGTTCCAGATTCAATCAAAAGATACATTTTTTGTTGTTGTTGTGATCTCTCGATGTAAGCTTACAAATTATGATATTTAAGTCGCGTATAAATAGCTCTGCTTGCAATGTAAGCGCTAATTCCTAAATAAAATAATCCAATTTGTACACTTTTTAAAACTGAAACAGAAAAACACTCGAAAAATGTCGAAATGATGTACTTTGCTCGGCAGATTTTCCAAATATAACTGTTTTTTAATCTTGTGCGGCTGATGCAAGCAAATCAATATGACGTTAACGTATTTCATACATAAATCGTTGTTTTATCTTTGTCTCTTTGCGACTTTTGTTTCGCCCCTAACCTCAATCAGTTGAGTATTGACTGTAAAAATACTTAATCATGAGCAACGAGCACAAATTTTAAAATAGGAAGATTGCTGACATATTAATCAGAAGGAAAGTATAAAAATATTCTGCTTCTGTTACAATTTTTTCTTTTCCTTTTCTTTCATTCGAGGCGTCGTCTTGCAGTTGGAAAATAAATCATCGTTAGTAACCCGCATGAGTGCTTTTTTTTAAGTTTGACGTTTTACATTTCGGAAGAAAGAATTAAAATCTAACCGGTGGCAGTACGTAGCATAATAACCACCTGTATCATTCCCTTCAATTTACATGTAAATTTGATCAATAATGCTCGGGTTAATAAAAGTTGATGCAATTGTTGATTAGACGTAAGATATTTGATTGGGACCCTTCGCACTTTGTACCACTACTGCAAGTGAAATTTGCGAGAAGAGAGCATAGAGCTCCACTTAAGTGGAACTGGGAGAGTTTTTGTTTCAGCCTCTATCTTCTGTTGAATATCGCCTTTGCAACTTTTTAAACAGCCCATCTTGGGCAATTTCAGAAATTTCAAAGATGTAACGTGAAGACAAAAATTATTTTATGTCCTGGAATTTTTATCCGGTGGATTCGCGGCGGCATTTAGATCAAATGTAGTTTAAGTGACAGAAACCACATCCTTTAACTTCTGTCGACAAATCGGATTAGAACAATGTGAGTTTTTTTTCTGTAATATGAGTTAAAAATAAAAATTGCTCAGACACTTCGTGCATTTCTTGACGTACTTAAAAAATTAACAAACAGGTTTATAGCGATCTGTATGTTTTCCATAGGAAATTATAGTCGCAGGAAGTTATCAAAAAAATATCTTTAACTGCTCATGCTTTTCAAAGTTTATTGATATTCAAGTTTGAAGTAAAATCATACAGCTAAAATGGAGGAAACAGGTGAAGATACTTCGACCAAGTTGAAACCGTGCTACATGGCATGCATGACAATTGCTAATAAATTGATTTGTCCTTCGAATCTCTATTCCTGTAGGTAATGAAAAGGTCGTGCCCTAAAATTAGTGCCCATAGCATTGAGCATGTTACAAAACACGTTCTCTTCACGTCCGTCAAGATCATGCCAACAAGATACACATCTGGGCTATTCTTTTACTTATTTTCGATCTTCTTTCTGCGTCTTCGATTACATAAATGAAGAATCAGCGACAGAGTCTGTTTTCTTTGTTGATGCTGTAAAACTTTCTCTGGCCTTAAGTTTAAATTGTCGGAATATTTGAAATTCCTATTGAATAAACAACCTTGCAATCAAATTTATCCATTCGTTACAAATATATATAGATTTCTATCCACTTTTTGGAAGTTGACAGTTTTGTTTTTCTTTTTTTTAGTGGGTAATTTGATGGTTTCGATTGGAACCTGAAAAAAGGAATTTTTCCAATACGGAGAAAACTTGAATGTGCAATTTCTAGCTTTCAACGATTTCCTCAATTCTTTTTTCCTCGATCTCCTAATGAATCAAGTAAACCATTATCAGATTTGTTTTTTTTTTTTTAACTTTCACGTCAAGGATTCTGTATCTTTGCTTGTTTTCTACTTTCTCTCTTAGGCGTGGCTCACAATTTTGTTCACTTGAATGTGCTTGAAGGCTTTTCAGTCCTTGGTTAGTGGGTTGTAAATTCCAGAAAACAAAATTGGTCAACTATCATCTGCGTTTAAGTTAAAACTTTAGTATTCAAGCTTTATTTGATTAGCAATTATTTGTATTTCAGTTTCGTTGTTTCTCAGTTTTCCGTTTTTTTCTCATCATTGTAGACACTGTTTCAGCACATTATCATTGTAATGATTTGTGGTTTGCTTTGATCCTTAATTTTTTCAATTAATCTCTTTTGAATAACATTGACCCTCTTTCAGTCTCACTGTTTATAACTGTTTATAGATTCATGTAAGCCCGTTTTGATTTCGAAATCCGCATTTACCATAATTGCCTCAGACGAAATTCCTTTCTATGTTATTATCCACACGGAATACAATGCCAAAACGCGACGAACACGCTATCAAAAACTGGCGTGAAAAATGGGTCATTTATTTTTCCTTTCGTGCCATTTTTGTTTGGTTGCATATTTCAAATTATTCGTGCGCGTTATTCGCTGTCCAGTCATAATATAGAATCATACTCTCGAATGTATTAAGTGCTGACGTGTTTTTATTTTCTGTGTTCGTTTCATACCAGTTGTTTTTACGTCAGAGGGAGAGCTTATGGGTTATAGAATGAGTTAGAACTGAAAAAAGAAGCTTTTGGTTTTCGAACTTAGCGCATTAAAGTCAGTACTGTCCACGGATTAAACCACAAAAGGTATCTACATGCTAAACCATAAAAGAAAAATTCTAAATAATTCCCAAGAAATCCTTTCCTGTAAATTTTTTCTGGCTGCTACTTAAATGAGTGCTCTGTTGACGCCGTTCACTGTGTGTGCTCGACGTCCGAAGAAGCAGAGTTCTTGGGAATTGTGTCGGACTGGTAGGCAATCACATCACAGCTCATATTGACAAGGTATTTTAATATATTTTCTACCTATTGCATCCCAATGATTATTATCTAACTTTTTTTTTCAGCATTCTCAATTATTTGGCATGGAAAACACTCTCAAATTTTTCGAAGGCTTTTGTAATTCTTCTAATGATCATGAAGCTGTCTTGCCTTCACAACACCAAATGATTGTGAGCTGTTCTGAGCTCCTGTCGAAAGCGGAACTAGGAAGGTTTTCTTAGATTTTTAAAGCCTTTCTTTTCCAAAACACTTGCAATATCCTAATCTTAAGGACGATGTTTAGGTTACCGTCGTTGTGATCGAACTGAAAATGCTGAAGCTCTGTAGACTTCGGGATGGCACGCAAAGGTGGCTCGTCTTTCAGTATTTCAGTATAATCATCGTGTAACTAATATTGCAACATTGAAGAGAATGCACTTGATTACCAGGCGTTGACACACAATTATCGAAAGTCAAGTATTTATGTAGATTCCTTCGAAACGAGTGCATATGACAGTTTCTGACTCAATTCATACTTAACCGACACATCTGTTTTCTTGTGTTTTTCTCTCGAAAATTAAGAGCGGAATTAAAATTGAGACAATTAATTTGTGATTTCACATTATAATGTGTGAAAGCATTATATAATCATCACCGTAATCTCTTAATTTGTTTACCTTCCATTAAATCCAATTCTTTTTAAGTATTTATGGCAAGCATATTCATTTTCAAAAGAGTTTTATCTTATTGCCGGACAAAATCTGATAGTAGCACTTTCCGTGGCAGATAGATTACTAATATTACGGTTAAGACTGACGAGACCTTTAGACTATCAGTGTGGTGCCACAAAGAACTAAAAAACATCGCATTTTTATGCCGTTAACGGAACTGTTTAATTTATATCAATTTTAATTGTTATTTCCTTGACGTGTGGCATGGAAAGAAAACTGTAAAAGGAAAAGCTAGACTGTAAGGTAATCGATGGGCAATACTCATTGTCTACAACTTCCATCTTAACTCGACGTTTACAATAGAAGTATAATTGGTGTAAAAAGGAGAAAAATTCATCATGAACACCTTAGTGAACAAGAAACATGGCTGAGGCTACTTCCCCAAACGGAGAGCACTAACAAGATCCAAAAAAACTTTAATATCAGCTAGTTTTTCATACACTATATTTATTTTTTTTGCAATGAACTTTTCTTTCGTCAACTTCAAACATCACTTTGTCGTGATGTTTGCTGGTTTTACATAGAGAAGGAATGAGAGGTCATATTTCTGGAATTAATCTGTACTTGAAGATCCTTACATGTTCATCTCCAACGAGAGATAAGGCGCACACTTGTCGGACAAAGTCCACAAGAATTTGAAATCACGCCATTATTCATTGCAGAACATTGCAATTTGTGCATGTGACCTAGTCAGACAAAGATGTTTTCTAAGAGGAATTAAGCCTTTCTACTCTGAAGAGGAACTAGGAGTCCAGTGCCAAACCACAACAAGGAAAATTGTATTATCTCATGCTGATCGTGCGAGGCTATGATGACCAGATTGATTTGTTAATAAGTGTCAGCAAATGAAAAAGAGGGTGTCGCATTTCCTCAAAGAGGAATTAAGCCTTTCTACTCTGAAGAGGAACTAGGAGTCCAGTGCCAAACCACCACAAGCAAATTCACCTAACTTCATGCTGATCGTGCGACTTAAATAACAGATTAAATTTCAGATCAGGATACAGCATAAGAAAGCTGATGAAACGATTTCGTTCACGATTGAGTTAGACCAGTTTCAAACAAACATCAAGCGAGAGAACTATTGTCCGACAAGTGAGGTCAGTAACAAATTTTCCATTGCCATTTGAAGGAAAATGAAACATGCTTGCAGTAATGTTTGATCTTGTATCCTCCTCTCTAATCGATTAGCTGGTGTCAGGACAAATGCATATTTTGTGGTGTGAACTGGCTGTTTTTCTTGTCGAACATCACGAATATTCTCATACAGCAACTAGAGAGAATTTGAGCCCTAATCTATTCTGGTCATTGGCTCAGACGTTGTAAAATTACACTTGAAAAATTGTTAAAAGAAAACAGACATTATGAAACGGCTGAGGCGCTCGCTTTCCTTCAATTGAATCGGCCTTATTTGAGTCCAAACCTTAGAGAGGTGGGTATCATTTGGTGTTTGATGTCGCACATCTCTCCGTCAAACCCAGATTTTTAAATTTCTTTTTTTTTCTGCTCAGCCTTTCTTGGTGTTCTATTATTGCAATTTTAATTGAGGTTCGCGAAGTTTGTTATTGAAGTGAGTTGTTATTTGCTGAGCATTGTCGTATGGGGAAAAGACAAAAAAACCATATTACTTAGTTTATGAGAGCAAGCTGGACAGATGAAATGGACTACTAAAGCAACGTTTGCTGAATTTCGCATTTCTTTTCTTCATCGAGCACGTGATAAGCCTTCTATGGCTGATATCTATTCAAAGAAGACAGCCTTGCGCTACTATGTTATAACAACTTTTAAATAGTTCTCAATGAATTGAAGGAAGAGTATAATAAAATAACTGAAGTGTAAACAACTGCTCGATGTCTGTAATGTCCGAGATGTCGGCGATATTTGCAAGTGATTGTGGTAGATCAGTATGTTCGCGTTTCCGGCTCTTTTCCTTAGCACATATGACTCCTTAATAAAACTCTTAAGAAACTTTTCCTACAGCCACTTTCTTCTTTTAACTTCCAGATTCTTTCCACCTTCAAACTATTTCCGTTGATTTGTACTCAACTGAACTTCATGACGTCAGAGATGAGGTTTTCGATGATGTTTTTACCAATCATAGTCACTTTGGCTTTTTCAAACATGGTCACAAGCACGAAAAGTCCAGGGTAAGTACCACTCCCTTATGAAATAAAAACTAGAGTAAACCGTCAATTGATTTAACAAAAATTTAAATATACCGGATTATGATACCAGCTTTCCACTTGTTACCCGGAGACCGAGGACTGTTCCAGTAAAGGCAAAGCTAACTCAAGTCTTTTCATCTAACCTCACATTTTATTTGTTTATATTTTCCTCGTCAAAATGACATTATCCCATTTATTCGGCAGAGCTGACCCACGATCAACCATCACTCGATCCATACGGGTATGTTGTTCTCAGTTTATTATTTATTACTTCTAATTTATAGATAAAACTTTGCTCATTGAAGGGTTGGCCTCCCCGCAACGAAAGGGATGGCTACTGGAATGGTTTTATTCGTTGTTGGAATACCATCTCCAAGCTGTTTTGTACTTATTTAGTTTCATTTTCTCATCTTTAAACTCAGGATGCTTCCAAACGAATAAGTATCAGGAGAGCCGGAGCTAGCAGGGGTCTGAGAGAATGCCGTGACCAATTTAAGTTCGAAGTCTGGGATTGCAGTTTTTATAAAGAAAGTGTGACTGGAGCATTACCTGATTTTATGCGAACAACGTTGTCTTATGGTATGAAATATTTTAATCATTTCAGACCAAGTAACTTGTATCTGTTTTGAGCATGACTCAATAGATAAGGGATATTCAAGGTTTTTCTATCTCAGGATCCTTATCCTCATCTTTTTATGGTCAAAATAATAATAATAGCAAAGATGATAATAATGATAATAACGGTTATTGTCTTGATGATAATGATGATACTGATAATCAAAATGAATGCCCAGACCCGAATTATGATTTTTCAAATTAATTTAGAGAATAAAATATTTCCATACAGTTATTACGTCTTTACCTGTTGAGCTTATCTTTTTAAAACAGCCAATCACTTTGTTTTGTAGCCAATAGAGAGACAGCGTATTTACACGCAATAACAACCGCCGGCATCGTACAAGAAATCGTGTCTCAGTGCGCTGCAAACAAAATTACCGAATGTAGCTGTGACAAAAAATCAGGGCAGTCTCGTGGATGCAGGAACTACCTGAAGTTTGCCGAGAAGGAGACGAGAAGGCTGTTAGTAACTCTACCACAAGGGAGCTTCGAACGAAGCGGAATTGACATTAATAATCAAATGGTGGGAATAGAGGTAAATGTTGTTTTCGTGTTTTATTCATTCTCATAATGTATTTAATGTTGTTTGCTCACTCATCGCCCACTCATTTTCGCGCCCCTTTTCATTCAATGCCTATTTATTTATCTCTCATGGGAAAATAATGCTACTTTTACTTACTTTTCAAGTAATCGTTAGAACGTAAGGCCTCTTCAAACACTGTTCATTTCATCAAGCTTTGTTCGCTTTCTCTCTTTGAGAAATTTTATCAAATGAACGTACATTGTAAATCCGAAATTTTTTGGGGGAGGAGGATCTTATTTGACCCAAAGAGTTGTGTGCCATCAAACATGATATACAGTTGTACTATGGTTACGAGGGCCTTTTTTTATGGACCGAAACCCTAGAATAGTGCGTGAACTTTGCAGTGTGTTATCAATAAGAGTAGCATGAACAATTGTTTCTGGTCCTTTTTGCACAATATCACATTCCTTGGGAACACTAACTTAATTTTTGTTTCTCTCTTGAATAAACACACAACATTCACTTGAAATGATACCCGCAAAACGCTCCTTGCTTTTAACGAAACTTTGCAAACTTTATCATCATGATTGCTTATAGGCTCCCTATACAACCAAGCTTGGTACTCGGATTTTTTTTGTTTCTTAAATACAAAGCCTGCTGATTATTCTGATCAGTATTTTTCCATACCCTTACAGGTTTTTAAGAGGAATTGTGGTGGCAGTTTGCCTAAAAATTGTAACAACTGGCAGAGAGTTGCAAACGAACTGAAAAGTAAATATCAATCCACCATAAACAAGACGCAGCAGACCAATATCAACTCCACTTCCCAAAGTAACCTACGACTGACCTATCAGGATCCGTCGCCTGATTACTGTGTACGTAATTTGACCGTTGGCTCTCCTGGCTTGGAAGGACGGGTCTGCGGAAATAGTGGCACAATAACAAGCCAATGCAGATCCCTTTGTGAGCAATGTGGCTTGACACTCCTGAGAGAGGACCGAAGTCCAAGAAACTGCAAAGATTGTCCAGAAATAACATCAGTGACAGTCTGCAGGAAGAAGAAAATAGTCACCGGCAAGCGATCAGTAGAGCAAAGCCCGGTGCAAATGATCGGACTGAGAAAGCATTTCCTCTCATTAGGAACAGATGTCTAAGCTGCCGGGGCAATTTCTTGAGGAAAGACGCTTCGAGTGTGCTAGAACAGTCAATTCTTATCTTCAGCCCCGTGCTTGCATCGCTTGTAGGTTTAACTGACACAGTAATCCCACATTAATGGTATATGCTTTATTTCTTTATCTATCTTACCAAATAATGAACTTTCCAGTGCAAAGAAACGCTTTGGTCGACCGCTTTCCGAGAGGAAAGGGCATGTAGTTCAGTCTTAAAACGAGATTTTCGATAAGTGTGATTTACTTGCATGACTTTGGAGCACTGGGAATAGCTCAAACTTTTTTAACAAGCTGCACTGTTTGTATTTAGAATTTTAGTAGAAAATATTCTACTCTGTTCCTTACAGCTCTATGGAGAATCCTTAATCTCTTATAGTTCTATATTATACCTAACAGTTTTAGACAGGCATAGCAAAAAATCTGATAAAGAAGATCTTTGTGATTAGTCGCATATGTATACACATATATACATATGTATATTTGTAGTCGAATCCAGAATCGAGCATCGTAATAATGAATTTCATAGAGCTCTAGTTACTGAAAGTCTTCCTCCATACACCTTAATGTAGTTCAACTGAAAATTCAGTTTTGATAAAACCTAACAGTTAATGACCAGGCACATCTAACTGATATGTGTTAGCCTTGTTTTCATACCGTTTCCTCAGGAATAAAACCGACTGATAAGTATGGAGTTTGCAAATTATTGTCATAATGTGCAATAAACACGTGGACCTCTTCATATGAGCTCAAGTGCTGGCTCGGTCAGCGGCGCAAATTTGGTCTTCCTTGCATTTCAGCGGGAATATCAGCTTTATTACAGAGATGAACAAAGAGAATCTTTTAACTATATCGCGGTAACTGACAGAAATTCTAAGAACATAGGTACAGTACATTCCTTAGCATGTTGGTTGAGAAAATCTTCTCCGCTTTAAAACTACAATTTCATATCCCCCTCCCCTCCCATCAATACAATCTATCTCTCAATATCGTGCGTTGCAGCAAAAGTGATTAGGGTAGACTGAAAGGAAAGCGGGTTTACTGTGGGTTTACCGGTGCAATGGCTTTTGACCAATCAAGGCGCCCGTAGTATCGCAATTATTTTATAACAAGTTAAAAGTCGACATTTCAAAACTGAAAAGTATGTATAAATTTTATTGTGGAATGTACTACTTCGACGTAAGCCATCATCAGATTATCATCCTCTCATTAATGACGTTATTAGAAAACAATAAATCGTTTACAATCTGGGAGCCAAAACAAGAGGTGCTAATAGGTTTCATTTCAGAAGTCACAACACGTACCACAAGCTGCAAGAGGTCTGTGAAACTGTCTTTCTTTCATCATCAAATCCAACTCACAGCGCTCCAAATACGTTAACATGCAAACCAGATTTATGGGGAGCTGGTACAAGATATGTTCTTAACTTTGAAAATACTAGTAAGAATTATGAGAAAAACCTCTGAGGGTTTTGAGTTTGCTGTCGATTTGTTACTTTCACTTTTCATTTCATAACTTGAAAAGTTCCTGATTCTTTCGTCGATTCATTTCTTAACTCATAAACTTTTGATTTCTCGACCAGTGAAGTCGATTGATATCGATATCCACCCGAAAACGATAAATTTCTTTCTTCTGAGGGAAATGTCTTATCAGCATGATCTGGAATAAACGAAAACATAAAATATACCTCTTAGAAAGGGAAGCTTTGAACCAGTAAGACGACTCCAATAAGGCTCAAGGAAAGAGGGTTGTTAAGATGCTAGATTAGTACGATCAAAAATGACTTGGCAAACCTCGTCGTCGGATAAATGACGATTTTTTCATTTTTTTCCCATTTAAGCACGTGGATTTTATCTTTTAGCACTTGGACGAAAAGTGACGCCAAATGTTAAACCGCAAGAAGGACGTCTAGGTAATGAGATCACATTGTTTAAGTCAACAAAATAACTTACAGATCAGAATAAGTCAGGAGATATAAGTGTTCTATGGATTGGATTCGTGGGCCTTATGTTCAAACATTTGATGAAGGACTTAGAATTGATTCGCTTCTTGGCCGCACGATTAATTCATAAGTTATGAGAGACATTTAAGATTAAATTATTTTAACTGTTACAGAGACTTTTCAATGTTTGGGTGAGCTCTATTATTAATTAGTAGTAATAGAGTCCACTCAGCACAAAGTTGTCTATTGATTCTGACCTACTCTAACAAACAAAATTATGTCTCTATGAACGTTGGTTATTGCGTCTAGTTATTGCATGGCCATCTTCCATCTTTTCATCACACCAACTTTGCAATCTTTTCTAAAAGAGATAGTCATTCAGTCACATTCGAAAATGCATGGGTTACGTGATGTTATTTGAAATGCAATAAGGAGATAAGTCTGCTAAATTTATTTTGCCACATTTGACAGGCCAAAAACCCAGATATTTTTAAACGTGACACGTACGTGCAAAAACAGGTTTTATTTGCTTAAACTTTTCGGTTGTCATGAGATTTTCCAGACTTCAGCTATGTTCAATAAGAGTGGTATTTCAAGAATATTTTTGAATTTGAATAGCTTAACTCTCCCTCTTTAGGAAAACACAGATTATCCACCCTCACTACATCCTACGTCCTATACGAGTTTGTTTCAAATAATCAAATCGTGTCGCTAGTAAAATAAAAAAAAAAATGGGTAATAAAATGTATCTGGATAGATGTCTGACAATATATATATATGTGTGTGTGTGTGCGTGTGTGTGTGCACCTAAAACACAAAACACAGAAACTCTACCGAACTCAGCGAACATATCTGAACCCTTAAAGAAAATAATATTGACCACTTTACTTCATGGCGCATCCTTTCATCAAGATCACCTTATTACAGCGCAAGCAAAAGATGCAACCTCTGCCTCAAAGAAAAATTACTTATCATCTACCGAGACTTTTTGACAAGAAAACGAGTGATATATATTTAATATATATTTCAATGTTGTAACGTTTTTGAAAATGGGTGTATATATATATTTTATTTTTATTATTATTATTATTATTATTATTATTGTTTTAAGTTACTTGTGAAGCAGGATCTTTTGGGACTTATCATTAATTTTCTTTTAAATGAATTCAATAACGTTATTCAAAAAGATACGAGAAAGCATCCAGCCAGCGCAGGATAACAGGCAATCCTCGTCCCCAGATTCCACCCTCTTTTTCAAGAGAATTAAAGAATAGAGTTTCTGGGTGCCATATGGATTAAGTTCATTCTCATCCTTAAATAAACAGATGGTCCTTTCTCTCACGGGAGTTGAACCGCGAAAATTTTTTTTTGTTAAAGATATTCCGAGAAAACAGTTAATTGAGTGCTTTGTTCCTCGTTCACCTATTGCTTATCTGTTACGCCATTGCGCATTCCTTTGCATCACGACCGCACAAGAGGTTTGAGAAAGATCAAGCGAAAATGAAAAAATGACCTAAAGCCCCTTTCTTATGACACCAAACAGCCAATTATTGAATTATTTTTCACTCAGACTACAGGATAGAAGCCCTAGGTAGGTGATCATCATCATCTTAGGGACAAGGCTTTGGCCTTAAAATATCTAATTGACATACACTATTATACTTTACTTAATAAAGGACGCTTATCTGGGGGATATTTCACTTCCAGAGCCGTATAATACACTATTGTTCAAGATATATTAAAGTTCACAGGGCAACCAGGTGGACAATCACATATACTAGTACCTCTTTCAGGGGTGATGAGGGCAATAGACAGGAGTGTCGAAACGTTGGGTCTATGAATTGTAACTTCTCGGTCACATTCATTAAATCTTTAAGCCAGAGTAGCATCAAACCATGTCTGAATGTTGTTCAAGTTATTTGGTGAAAGATTTGACCAACTGATCAGGATTAACTGAGTGCACGAGCGACTTCTCCGAATTTGTAACCTTATTAGTCATAATCATTTCAAAGTGTCCGTGACATGAAGCTGTTTGAATTACTATCAGGAATCAGTGAAGGCGAGTTCAATTTGGTAACAATGGCTGATGTTTGATATTGGTGAACTGCCGGAGGGGATTAATTCCCGGCAACAGCCTGAAGGTGCGATTTGCGTTTTAAGAACTTTAAGGTCATGGCTAGGACAATGCACGTACATAAGCCAAAACTAGATATTTTGTGACGTCAACGAAAATTCCAAGATGGCGCATACTCTAAGAAACGCATCACGTTTTCCTTTCTTAGCTCTTTTCTGCGCTTAGCGGTTTCCTTCTCCAGCGGCACTTACTTACGAAGAGACTGAAAATATGACGTCTGTGTAACTTTTACGCGCGATTCAGAGGTGATCCTTTTGAAATTGTGTGTTACGGTTCCAGCGCGCATATCTTCGCGACAAGACCATATCTGTTGAAAAATAAGGTAGGTAAAAGCATTTTCAGTCTTAACAAAAGTTGCTCTCAGAACCTATGTAAGATATTTTTGTACTTGGCGGTATTTGTCATCATAGTACACAACCCCTTTCGTACTTTTGTGTTATTTTGAAGATCCGACAATAAGTTTCGTCATGTGATTTGTCGTTTGAATTGATGATTGAAAATTCCAATTATGCTCTCTGACAGTCTGATGGAAGATAGATCTGCATTTTTACCATTAAGATGGTAGTTGGTTATAACGATTCTAACGAATTCGAAAACACGAACAGTTCAGATTTGCAAGACAACAGCACTCTGAAATAATGTTTATTTCACGACATTGATCTCGATAACAGAGAGGTCCATCTCCACTGGATTGAAGAAGAACTAAACACCGTTTGAATTGCGACGCTTATATGACTATGTGCTCATCCTAGCTTCTATCGTAAGAGATTTTACCTTAAAACTTAAGAAATGTCTAAAATAAGTATTAGATTTGCTTTGTGTAACTCGAGTAATAGTTAATTTAAGGCCCATTACTGGAGGACTTCACGAATGAATGATTTACAGCCACTACTTTCATTCATTAGTTCAATTTTTGGTTTTCTTTTAAAATGAAATTCAAACTTGTTATCTGAAAAAAGACATACATAGCCCAAGTGCAACCAAGTATTAGGGAAAGAAATATTCAAATAAATCATTGCTTTACTTGGTTAATGGTCAACTTGAAGAAGCAGAAGATGAAGCTGATGAGGCCCTATAAGAACTCGGACTGATTGAGCTTCGCCTTCGAAGACAAAAATTCCGCATCGCTCTGGGGTAATTCCAAATAATTCTGGCCTTTCTAAGTAACGTATGGTGAAGTTCCCCAAATTCTGAGTGACTGAGTTCAGTTTTGATATATGTTATCTGAACTGCTAGGACATTTTAGGAATGGAGATCTTATAAAAATCTTGTTTTGATTTATACAGCTCAAATGGAACTATTTTAAGAAGACAGGATGGTTGATCACATTTTACCTTCCACAGTACTTTATGTTACATTCGGATTATGACATGGATGCGTGTGAACAAGAGTTTTATAATGTAATAGAGAGCATGCACTGTAAGCTACATTTAAGAATTGATGTTTGAGTCTATCAACTCAGTCATGAATTTTCAGTGAATTAAATAGTAAGGTTTGTTGACTCCCTGTTGTCTAGTGTAACCACTAAGCAAAATAGGTTTGAGGCAAATTTTGCACGCCATGAACTGATAACTGAATTGAGGTCAGCACAGGCACCAAGAAGTGAACAGCTTTTGTAGAAAGTTAATCAAATGTTCCTAATATGGATTTTAAACAGAAGTAATGACATCATTAGTAAATTCAAATGACCCTATCATAAATATTTTTCATGTTCATAAGCCTTAAACAACGGAGCTCAAGTTTAGTTTGGGAACCCCCTTACCACGTACATGCACATTTTTCTTGGTGTGTTTACAAATTCTAACTTCACGAATTCATGGAAAGTTTTCACTCTAGGCCAGTCAGTTCGACGGCAGTGGATTAAAAGTGGAAAGTTGTGCACGATTAGATCTAGGAAACCCATATTAAACAAATAGGAAATAAATTTATCAGGTTTCCTAACCAGTATCCTCAACGAACTATAGTTTAAGTAACAGAAATTCCTGAGCTTTGCGGGTTTTGTCAATGATTGTCTACATAGCTGGAATCAATACTTCTCAGCCTTCAATTCCAAAGCGCTTTTCTTATAACCATTTCTTGGCTAGAAAAGCCTCAAACCTACAATGCATGATTAGAAGAAATCGCAAAGGGAAAACTGGGAAATGAAATTCAACCACCTCGCAAGCCAACACAACAACAACAACAAAATATCTATAAAAAGAAACAATGCGGTTATATTTCACCTTGTCACCATGTTTAACCTCTTATATGGATTGGCAAGCCCCTGATGATTAAAGTTGTATTCGAGGTATTACAAACAGAGCATGGTAGCGATTGCGAAGGTGATTGTACCTCCAGACCGTAATATCTTCCCCTAAAAGAGATGTAAATATGCACTTGTAATGTGCTGGTGCCCTAGAAAGTGTTCCGTTCAGTCCCTTCCTCTAAGAACAGTCATAACGTTTCATCTTCAGCTCTTATCAGTCCCATGCAAGCCCTTTTAAACTATTTCCTTCGAATCCCTGCCTCTTTAGAAAGAAGAATTTTTGGAGTATAAATGTCCTTGGCTTATCTCCATAATTCCACAGTAAGTTCAAGCGTTCTGCGTCTCTCGCGATTGACGCTGATTCCTTTCGCGGTCGAGGTTAATGTTTCCATTAAGCGTATTAACCAATCAGGATCACAAAAAGGTACGTATGCAGTTCCGGCTTCGGGCCGGATTGATGAAACGTAGATAGGAAAACAATACCAGCTATTCCGACAGGTTTTAGCTGTTGAACGAAGCCCTTGTCGTCAAGAGCATTCAATGCATTCTAACGTGTTTTGCTTTAACTAGTATTTGTATTGATCGTATTTGCTCTGTAAGACCATGTAAACTAAGACGGCCAGAGAGACTGAACTTGCTTATTTGTTGTGGGTTGCTTAGCAATAAAGGGTTAAAGTCGAGATTGTTTCCGATATAACATTTTTACAAAAACAGGTTTCAGATTTGTTAAAGCCAAACAGGAATTGATTTGTTACGAACTAGTAAAAATAAAAACACCATCTTAAGTGCAAACAACTGAAACGGAAAAGACAAAGCAAAAATAAAACGCTTTGGAAAGCTACCAAGCGAGACTTAAAACAGCGCACGCCCCCCTGGAGATGCGAAATTGAGGAGAGTGTGAACGATACTTTTTAAAATCCATGCAAACAATTCTCAAAAAGAACTTAAGGAGATTCAGAGTTACTGTTAAAGATTCCTCCTTTCAAAGAGAGGACCGTGGTGTAGAACTCGTCATATTTTTAGAAGGTTTAACGAAGACGAGATATGGCAGACTGCGGGTCCAACTTAGGCTTGCATCCTTAAAATTGTCACAACTGGTTTGTAACCATATTAAATTAAACATAATGACGAAAAAGGCAAGAATGTGTGACGAAGGGAGAGTTCCCTGCAAAAGTACCTTAGTAGGCTGGGTAACCGCGCCAGAGGGCGGGATTGCGTTCCCTTTTGTCAAATCCGATTACGTCGGTCCGCGACCGTTATTGGTGATATTGGCTGAGTCAATCAGTGTCCAAACAGCTTGTAAAATATTTGGAGCTGGCACTTTTCGCACAACTTGCGTTACTAGCAATATTCATATATAAACTTCATTTTTGAGAAAAATCCATCCTAATGTGCACTTTTCATAATTGTAGTTTTTAACGTTTTGTTTCTTAAGGCACTGTACAATTCTTCGACCTTTGATGTAATCCATACATGATATAAGAAATCCCTACCTGGGATAAACTTTTGGAATTGTTTTTTTCTCAAACATCTTTTTCTATCCCACAGGTTATTTGATCTCATTCGAAGAGAGAAAACACTAGGGAGCAAGTCGTCTAGACAATATACTTCGTGTGACAAAAAGAACGTTTCTGGAAATTTGTCATCAACCGGCAAAGATGAATTTAGTACAGCAGCACGGACGAGGATATAGAGCTCTCTCGCAGAGACCTCTCGCAGAGAATCACCGCCCGGCTTCTTATGGTCGCTAAACATTAAGTCAAAAAAGAAATAAGATAAAAAAAACAAATTGTCACTAAAAGCTTGCTTAGTGTACCTGTAATGTCGATCTAGTTTGTGGGCCTCGTCCATACCGTCGGTGATCAGCTTTTAAACAGTTTAAACAGTTTATAGCGAAGAACTGCAAACCCTGTTTGGCCTTGTAGCTTCCATTTTATTTCTTCAACTTTCAACTTGGGTTGTTTACCCCCGCAACTAAAATACATTAGTAAGTGTGTAGTAGGAACCATCTCAGTTAAAGTGCCTATATATGAGTCCTGCACAGACTGATGAAGGTGAAACTCCACATCGAGAATGAATTTAGCTTTCATCGTATATTTGGAAATGTTCAGCATATAGAAAGATTATATTGATTTGATAATCGTGAACAGAATTGAATTAACAAGCAGGTATACATTTTAACATAGTTCTAGAATTATTCTGTATCTTTCCATCTTTATAAGAAGCTCTTACGGGTAGCCCTGTGCCCCAAAATAGGAGGTTTCTCATACGTGCATGCTCCTGAATTTGGCATAAACACTTTACACTATTTGGATTGATTCAATTATCGGCCTCGATCTAGCCCTTAATGATCTAATTCCTTCAAACGACGATCTAACCAGCTCAGGGAATATAAGTTTCTTAACTGAGGACAATTGTATTGTCAAGCAGTTAACAGCTTGACTCCCAGGGAATCTTGACGAGTTTCCAAAAATACAAATAAAATTCCTCGACTACCTGAAAGATAAATTTATGACTATTCAAGAAGCAAAACTGACAGAGAGGTTAACTAGAATATTTTTCCAGGCCTCCATTGGGCGAAATGTCGTTCTTTCGTTCGCTTACTCAGCATTCTTTCATGCGAAAACAAATCAATCAACATAAAGTATTTATGACAAAAGTCAGTCCAATCTTCAGAAAAGCCCTTAGGAGCCGGATTTCTGGCAGTCAAATAGTATTCAAATTTACAGATTCTTTATTTAAAACTGGCCTTCAATAACATCAAATTGAGTAAATGAATGGCTGAAACTTTCTCCACGTTACGTAGTATTAGGCTCTGCTAGAGCCGTGTGGCCTTGAAGGTGTTCCTATTTGCAGTTATGATGAATGTACCCACTGATATTAATTCGGCAAATAAGAAAGTAGTTCGCGTTTTTTTTTTTTGTTGTTGTCGTTGTTTTCTTTATATTACAGAAGTCAGAAAAATCTGAAGAAAGTTTTATAACGTTTGCAGTTTTTGACTGAGATCAGCCAAATTGTTATTTGGTTCCAGATTCAGTCTAAATATGAATTTTTGTTCACCTGTTTTGCCGATGTGAACTTTACTAATTGTGATATAAAAATTCGTGTATTATAGGTCTGCTTGCAACGTAGGCGCTTATTCCTGAAATATCCAAATCCAAAGATTATTGGATTTGGATATTTATGTACTGGTATTTTTTCTCAAGGAGAGGACTCAGATAAAAAACTATAGGCTTTACTCCGCAGATTTTTTAAATATAGGGGGTATGTTTCTAAAGAAATTGCGGTAATGTGTCGGTGGAAGAGTGTAACAGGGTAATTCAGTATTATCAACTGAGTCCAACTTGATAACGTAAATTGGCCACAGTAAAGAGTTTCAAAGCTGACGTTTCGAGCGTTAGCCCTTCGTCTCGTTACCCGATTCGTTCTGACGAAGGGTTAACGCTCGAAACGTGAGCTTTGAATCTCTTTACGGTGGCCAATTTACGTTATCAACTCAGATTGGTTAAATATCATTATTGATACTATGTCGTGTATTTTTTAATCTTGTACAGCTGTCACGGGAAGATCAATATTACGTAAACGCATTTGACACGTTTATCGCCGTTTTATTTTTGTCTCTTTCTTTTCTCAGTCCTGGATTAAACTTTGAACGTTTACTTACTGTATAAATCATTCATATTATAACATGTATTTGTAAATCCTGTACAGCTGTTCCAGGCGCGTTAACGCATTTATACGTTTATCTCTGTTTTATTTTTGTCTCTTTCTTTTCTCTGTCCTAGCCTTGACCTTTAATGTAAACGTGCTTTATCCACGAGCAGTCTGGTAAGATTGCTGAAATATTGATCAAAAGGAAAGCATATAGTAAAATGATTTCCGTTTTTAAGAATTTTTTTTGTTTTTTGCTTTTTTTTTGTGTCTTTCATCCAAGGCGACGTGTTTGGGTTAAGAAACCATTTATGATTAGTTAAGTGCGGAAATATTTTTCAAAATATATCAAGAAATTTAAGGTTGATGAAAAAGTGCAAGCATGTATTCAGAATTCTTCGCACAAGAATGAATAAAAATCTCACCGATGGCAGTAGCATAATAACCACCTGCAGCATTCCCTTCAGTTTTCATTTCAACGTTGAGTTCTAAAATTTGAACAGTCAGGCTTGGGTTAATAAAAGGTGATGCAATGAAACATTCAATCGCTATCCTATGCTCTTTGCACCTTCCCTGCAAATTTAATTTGCCAGAGCTGAGCGTAG